AGGAAATGCATTCAGGCAGCATCCTTGGACCCTCTGCAGAAGCAATCCCATCCCATTAAAAACTGGTTATGAATGAAACAAGTTGTAACTTGGTGCCTCCTCTTACAAGCCAAAAACAATGGCTGAAAAGATAAATAACATGCGGAACATATTTTGTGTTGTCTGAGCAGATGGTCTTGGAGGTGTTTTGAGGGTCTGATGTTGGCTGACTCTGTCCTGCAGCCCCCTCAGGGCAGCAACTGTGAGTGGTCATTAACACGGGGAGCAGGCCATGCCAGGAGAGAGAGGAGTCGAGCTGTAGTTAACAGCCACCATCCAGCTCAGTCCTCCTGCTCTTTGCTAAACAGGAACAACTACAGCATTCCTGCCGGTTGCCAAGGCTGTAAAAGCAACACATCATGGAGAGACCTTTAGAAAAAAAGACATTGTTTTGCGAGCACAAAGGAACCCTATGAGGAAAGGTGTATTTCTACTTCACTGCGCCTCATCGCTCACTTTTGCTGTATCTAAGGTTATGGCCAGGGCTGTCTGGCAGTTATCCATACACAGTGAATCATAGCATTTGTGTGTGTGTGCACGTGTGTGTGCATCTGTGCACAGTGGAGTTGCGGACAGGTATGACAGGCTGACCTCCGCATGTTACCAGAGAGAGTGTGCGGCCCAGTGTTACCTGTCATAACACGGGCTGCCTGGAGCCCCGGAGCAGCAGCCTGACCAGGCCACTGGGCAGCCAGAAATAATAGAGACTGGCAAGAGGGCAATGAGGGGTCGCACGGAGAGAGAGAGAGAGAGAGAGAGAGAGAGAGAGAGAGAGAGAGAGAGAGAGAGAGAGAAGAGAGAGAGAGAGAGAGAGAGAGAGAGAGAGAGAGAGAGAGAGAGAGAAGAGAGAGAGAGAGAGAGAGAGAGGAGAGAGATAGATATGAGAATAGAGAGGAGAGATAGAGGGGACAAAGGACATATGACAGGAGGACTGATGGAAAGATGAAAGGCCAGAAGAGTGAGAGGCAGAAGAAGAGAGGATGTACTGTGGTGAGGAGAGCTGCCTGTGAGGATAAGGATGTGGGAGCAAGTGGGTCAATCGAGAAGCAAAGAGGAAGATAAAAGACAGGTAAGGAGGGTGGCGGCTTTTCTCCTGAATATTACCTCCTCAAGCTTCTAAAGAAAGCTACAAATGGTTTAAGACAGAGAGCGAAGAATACTGCTTTCTGAGTACTCAGTGTCTGTCCAACATCATGAAACCAGACAGACCGCCGTGCATCTCTCCCCATTTGTTTGGAAGCACAGTTTATCTTTGCGAGTACGATGTTGGAGCGTTCCCGTGGTGAAGCCACTCGCCTGCAGAGATGGAACAGCTGAATTCACTTAGGCAGGCTTGGCCAGCAATTAAAGTGCTGGATTAAGAGTGATTGCGTTTTGTGTCCTGAGGAGGCGCTGCCTGCCATCTTGAGAGGTCTCATTAACATGGCTGCCGTGGGCTGCGCTGAGCACTGCCACAGGCAGTTAAAAAATAATGGAGACATTATCAACCTTAATGTCTTGTACCTGGAGTGGAGAAGATTTTATAATCACTATTGTGATGGGCCCGTGGGCTGCAAGTTGGGCGAAAGGGAAAGGTTGCAGAAGATAACCCTTTTTCTGACCAGACCCCTGTGTGTTTTTTTGATCAGCCACTACACGTGGGGAGTCTGAGCAGCTGGATTTCATTAATTGAGTGCTGGCAGCGTTCTGCTCTGGCGGCAGGGGTGAGTCACACTGGTGGGATTGGTCTCTCTCTCCCTGATATCATCTTCCAACCATAACTACAAATAATTATTCACTCAAATCCATTACCGGGGGTCAATCAAGTTCCCCAATCAGTTCTAAAGTCCAATTACTGGCGCCAAGGCTCTATTCGCGCCTTCCTGCAGATGAAGGCCTGGCCCACAGGCTGCCCAGTAAATTACACACAGCAAACAGTGCAGTGAATGTGTGGGAGAGCCAGCCTCCTCAGGTGGGTAATAAAGCAGAGGTACATACTGGTCTCCCTGGGGCAGTCTGACCGTACCATCGAGCAGACTTCACCAGGTTAAATAGAATTAGCCCATGCAATGAGACACACTTTGAATACCAACTAGATCTCATCACTCTACAGGCTAGAGAGCGCAGCATGCACAGCACAGCCTGGTATTAACATCCATCTCAGCAGTTGATATAATAAGACATGTCGCCATAAGGGTCTTTTTATAAAGAGGCTGCACAGTGACCCATCAGAGCAGCATAATGAGTGGGGTGTTACATCTGCAAGCACACACACACATACACAAACTCAGGGCTTCGCTGCAGCTCTCCAACCCCATTAGCGTGTGGCTCCTTGTATCGTTTTGCAGCCGTCTTGAAAGTGAGCCTGGAGGAAATGCTTCTTACACACTCATCTGTCACTAGAGAGAGACAGCAGTGCAGCCAGCCGAGACAGAGCAGGAGCATGTGTGTGTGACAGGGGATGGATGGCTTGTATGTATGTACAAGATGTGTAGGAGGTGAGCAGGACGAGTGTTCAAAGAGAGGGGAGTGAGGGAGGGTGGGGGAGTGTGGCGGTATGTGTGTGAGGAGCAGAGCAAACAGAGCAGAGACGGGGTGAGGCTCTGTGGCAGCAGCCCATGACCGGTTGTCACACTATCCACACACACTGCTCCCAAATCAGCCTGGTAGGAGGGCCGGTCTGACATTTCCCTCAGTGTCAGGCTTCCTTCACGCTTTGCCCTAACCACAAAGCAACCAAACTATAACAGTGACATACCCACCGCGAAGAAGCACATAGATGTGTGTGCGTGCCATGATATGCCTGCTTTGTTTACTGACGTTTGTAGCAGCCCCATTGTTCAACACTCATTCCAGACTTTTGAGGTTTTTAGGGGGGGGGGGGGGGGGGATAGCTGAGTTTTTGGACTGCAATTACAACAGTATGAGGGCACTTTATTTTGTCCTGAGCCAGGAAAGTATCTGACTTCAGACTGCTGACACAAAGAAAGGCTGTCAATGTAAGCCCCCTCCATTAAACATGAAAAAACCTCATCAAAGAGCCAGCCTCTGTCCTCTGCTTACATTCAAGAGATCCAGTGAAATGCTAAACACATGTGGATGGATCCCGTGTTTAGGCTAAAATGGCTGAACACGATCCGGCAGCATTTGAGTTAATCTTCCTTAGTGAAACCGCATGGTGTTGTTTACACTGGAGACAACTGTGAGTGTAGTGTATGCATATGTGTGTGTGTGTGTGTGTGTGTGTGTGTGTGTGTGTGTGTGTGTGTGTGTGTGTGTGTGTGTGTGTGTGTGTGTGTGTGTGTGTGTGTGTAGTGTATCCAGAGCTGCAGGACTCACTGTTCCCTTTTGCTAAGCCAGAGCAGTTACAGTGTGTATGTGTTTGTGTCAGCATGATGGAGGAGAAGGGTGTTACTCAGACCTAATGAATCCATCTGCATGCAAGGGGCATTCTTCCTCTCGTACGCAGGCAGGAGCAAACGAGCAGCGACCTGGGAGCGCGTTCAGCGATCGGGGGGCTCGGGCTCACTATTTTCAAAGCAGAGCAGCAAGGACAAGCGTGGATTAGTATTGAATTTACCTTTTTTACTCCCCTTGAAATAAAGGTTCTTTCAAAGAGAGGATTGAAAGCAGTCTTAGACCTCATGTTCTGTACTGTACCAAGCATGGCTCCTTTCTGCTTTTCTCTGGGGATTGAGGGTAGCAGAGGAGGGTTGGCACTGAGGGTGAGACTACAGTACAGCCTTTGCTCCAGGAGAGTGGCAGCTGCTGATGTCCTCACCTCTGAGTGACCTGGCACCCTGGGCAACCTCAATGAAGAATGGATGGAGGGCAGGAGGCGGGGGCATTAAGAAGAAGAGGTGGTTGGCACTCAGGGCCCAGTCATTAGGATAATGAATCCAGAGTGAGTGGAATTTGGGAGACCTCTAGTGGCTGCACAAAGTAGAAACTGACACCCGAGCTAGGGGGAGATACAGTATTCTGAATACTGCTGTTCATACTAAAATGAATAGAAATGTTACTTTCGTTACTATCTTTCTAAGGTCTTTAAAGTTTATAAAGAGTGTAGCTGGTTTAAAACACAGCTACTTGGCTTTAAACAAGAACAAATTACTCCAATTGTATTATGTATTAGTGAGCTTTCAGATCACTTTTAAATGAAGTTGAAGATTTTCTATAATTGGCTTCATGTTAGATTTGGAGCATTGTATATCAAAGTACAAAAGGGTAACGAATGGCAACTTGAATCCTACACTGATTTGGATTGGAGCAACCCATTTTCCTCCTCAGCCCTAAAATGTCCAATTTTCCGTACCGTACAATAACGTTTTGTATTATTAAAGCACCAGAAAGTGTATTTAAAGTTTAACAACTAATCATTTGTTATCTGTATTTTTCATATTTCAAGCATTTAAAAAACGGACTGATAAATAGAGTATTTAAAAACAAACTGACGGAGTAATTGATATAAAACATTATTAGTAGCAGCCCTAGTTTGCACTGGTGTTTTACACAGATATTTTAATCTATGAATACCAATTCACCCTAATTAATGATGCCTGTTATTTCCTTAGCCTTTGCAAAGATCATACAAGCACTTGTCACTGGAGTCCATTGCTTCACCCTGTAAAAAGCAGCACGTCTGTTTAAATTCATATCGAGCACTGGAGTTATGAGTGTGTGACTTATTTGTCTTTAATCCTCTGGTGGCGTCCAGGAGTGCATTATGAAAGTAATTCTGAAAATATTAAAGTGTGTTATGCCTGAATAAGAAGCAGCAGACTCGTTCAGGGGAAACTGAGCACTGACATTTCTGGCTCCAGAGTGCAGAAAAAAAAATTCATTACGTCTGTGACAAATCTCAGGGCTAATATTCGTAGAGGTAACATTAATCATCCCCTTTTTCATATCATGAGCAAACACAAGGCGAGAGAAAGCCTGGCCAGCTGTACTGACAGATTTAATGATTTCCACTTATCAACTTAAGATTCACATCATTCTTTTAATATTATATTCAATGCAGAAACACAAATACAGAATTAAAACATTGTGCAAGTCCAGTTGCAGGGAATTGTTTGATATATGAGCACCGTCCACGGCAGTTCAACACGAGAACCAATTAAATAGCGGACCATAATAAATCCTATTTCTCTAACCGGATCATTGCTTTAACACTTTTTTGGGGTTATGAAATGTTGTCTCTTGTTGATCGCAGCATGAGGATGGTGGGTAAAAATAGATCACACCACTACAGCACTTGTCATGTCAATAACTATGGCAGGAGCAACACTGCTTCGCCTTATAATGCCCCTGATTGTAAAAAGGGGATTATTTGGAGGACAAACTCCAAATGTATCAACATGGCCTTTACAATTTGTGTGTTTGGCACTGCTCTCATTTAAACAGTTCATGAGGGTCTGTAGTGTTTTTGTCCATAAAGACAATCCCAGTATATACCTTAGAAAAAAACATACCATTCATATCTCATAGCAATTCAATTGCTTCATTTAAACTGTTCAAATGTGACTGTGTCTTGAAGCAGACTGTGAGAAGTGACTGTCAGCACTCTCCTCATATGGATTAAGGCATTCATAAGACTGACGTTTCAGTGGAGAGGTGACTTCTATCTGAGGTGTTTTCAATTTCAAATGAAGTGTAAAAAGAGCAAGACTGCTTCTTTTGTGAAAACCTCAGATCCAAGGTCACATATTCTCACTTTGTCCTGGTTTAGCTGTGCGTAGGGGCTTCCTGATCAGCCACGAGGCGTCCATCCTCCTCGTAAAGTGCAGTCCAGTGATTACTTTGGTGATGAAGATGTGAAGGCTTTGAGGAGCAGGTCGGCAGCCAGGCCCGGGGAGATTTCTCCTCTGGTGACCCGCTGCTCCAGCTGGGGGAGAGCCCCTCTGACACTGGGGTGATTCTGGAAGTGCGCGAGGGCGTTGTCCTGGATCAGACTCCACATCCATACCTTCTGCTGGGCCCTCCGCCGGCCCTGCAGCTCACCGCTGGCCAACATGGCGTCCCGGTACGACTCCAACATGGCCCAGACCTCTGGGATGCCTTCGTTGGTGTGTGAGGAGGCGCGCACCACCTGAAGAGGGAGTCAGGGGGAGGGGTGCGGGATGCAGGTGTGAATTATAAAGCGCCTTTTTCCCAACAAACATGTCGGAGCATGGATAATTATCCTGAGGACGTCACAGAAGGCAAAGCAACCTGCCCTCCAAACTTAGGTCAGTATGGAACTTCTGCCTCATATTTCATATTATGTATGAAAACGCACTCCCTTTTTTAAGCTATTTTGTCAGACGTATGGACCTTAATCCAGGATAAAAACTGCAGTTGTCAGAGGTCACTGTATTGTCCAACTCAGATGATAGGAGATAGGAGATATGGTTAAAATTGTGCTAATTAAAAAAAATAATAGTTTGACGCTAGTTTGTTTAAGACTGTTAGGAAAACATGCTGTAAGAAATATCCTCTTATTTCTATTGGGACTTCACTTTGTTTAGTGATTTTTAAATTATTTTTGTCAGTTTTCACTAAAGCCCCTGTCACACTGTCCCGAAATTGACACCAGATGGACACACGAATATGGAATTTCGCACGAAGATGGCCCCGAACTTGGTCAACAGCCAAGCAACAGCCGAAGCAAGTACGATGCCTACAGAAGGCCACACGATGGCACCCGAACCACACACGAAAATATGGTCGTAGACTTTACTGATGATTTAGAATGTATCCAGACTCAACGTAAGAGCTTGTGCCTCTTCGGGGGGTGCCAACATTTAAACATACATGTTATTCTTTACTTTCTCCGTCTTTATATGTAGATTAGAAGATATTACTTATCTCCGTCATGTTGTTTCCATAGCAACAACAACTTCCTGTCAACAGCGTAAACTTGCCTTCAAAATAAAAGCATCTAAATAAAACAGGAAGTTAACCTAAATTACATTTAAGACATACAACTGCAACGAAAGTAGCAAAAACAATGTAATATCCTTTTCAGTTTCACAGAACACAAATTGGGTTATTTACATAATATGTTTACATGATTTTGTTGTGCAGTAAAACAACCAGAGAAGCGATCGGCAAGGAAACATTGCACACCGTGGTCCCATCTCAATGTCATCGTACTATAATATGATGGCTACACGACGGCGGCATTGCGAGGGCTTCACGTAGTCATGTTGCCTTCCTAAGACAATCGGGCAGCTTCTTGTTTCCTTCGTATTGTCTTCGTGAGGCGAAAAATGCCCGATGGCAATTCAACATGAAAATGAACCTTCGCAAGGTCCTTCAGAATTTTTTTGGCATGTCAAAGATTTTGCCACCGCTCACGAAGTTGCTGCCGGAGCCTGAGAAACTCCACCGGCGGTCATACGATGGCTTAAGATGCCCTCACGAATGGCCCGATGTTGCTACGATCACAGCCGAATTTGAACATTTCCTTTATCCTGTGTCCATCGGGTGTCAATTTCGGAACAGTGTGACAGGGGCTTTACAGAGTGTAATTACTCTGAGCTTTGTTTTAATAATCAAACAGCATTTTGCATAGATTTAATTGCAGTTGGGAGTCGCTGCTATTTCCACTGTTTTGCGACGAACCTCCAACCTGTAAGAAGCTGTCGTGTCACTTTACAGAGTGAGGATTTGTCTCCCAACAACACCTTGTTTGTAGGAGCAGTCTGGGGGTAAATGTCACTTTTATTTAGTTCAAGTGACAGTTTGTTTCTTATCACAGCCTGCTGCAGATTCAAGAGTAAATGATGAAATTCTGGGTAACAGGTTTCAAATCTAACACAGAAAGAGAAGTCAGAAGTAGTACAAAACAAGTCCAAAAAGAGGTCAGGCCTTTCATTCAGAGGTGCATTAAGAACCCATGAACCTGCTAAAAATATAAAAGTTAACTTTCAGTTTTTTATCACTTCACAATTAAAAAGAATAAAAGGAGTTTGGAGGAGGAGAGACGAGGGTATTCTTCAGTGTGGATGTCAAAGAAAATTACAAATACTCCACTATCTCCAGGCTGCTAAAGTGTAATGAAATTACATGTATCATTTGGAGATCATTTGACATCCACTGGTAATCAACAAAGTTGAATGCGACAGGCTGATAAATATTGGCGGCATGTGATCAACAGCCAATTATAAATCCTCTAATTACATCAGAGTTAATCATTTTACAAGGACTTGATTTGAGTCTAATGCAAAAACAAGAAATCAAACTTTGTGAAACTAAACGTACTGCATGTTGGCTAATTATCTTTTTAAATAGCCAGTTTATAACTAAAAACCATCCATACATTACATTACCTCCCCCTACTGGAATCTGTTTAGCCATGCACATAGAGTTGGTTTTATTCACTTTACCTAGGAGTGTATTTTTTCAGTTTTTCTGATAACAGATCAATTACAAGCCCAGTTTTCATAAAACCTGTTAAAGGTTAGGAGCTTGGGCCTTGGACTTTTTTCTGTTTGTTTCATATCTTTGTTTATTGAATGTCATTTGGATTTTGGACAATTGGTCGGACGACTAGATCATTGTATCATTGTTTTCTTACAATTTCTTTAAATGTTAAAACACAAACAACTATTGGATTTAAAAGAAATGTTAGTTGCAGCCCTAGTTTTTAGGGAAGCTATTTCATCAGAAGAACACATAAGAACGAGCTTAGAAATCAGAGTAGCGTGTGTGTGTGTGTGTGTGTGTGTGTGTGTGTGTGTTTTCATGCTGAGTGAGCTGGACAACAGAGGGCAGACTGATGGAGATGAGAGACAGCGAGAGACTCAATAGATCACGCAACTAGACACAAAAGAGGGCAAGACAGCAGAAGTAAGGATAAATACAGAGAGGAGACTATGAAGAGGAGCTTTTATGTCGAGTGCGCAGGCTTCTAATCAGCAAAATGCATGACGCAGCAGCCGAGTATTCAGAGCAGGAGGAGTAGGGGGCGGGGGCGAGGAGAGGGGAATGGGAGGTGGGGGAGTTTCCTGGCAAAATGCCCAGTGGGCAGATGCTGCATTGGGCTGGGAAAACAAAGGGACAAGGCCAGGCAGGCGGGTGAGCTGGGACATGCGGGGAGGGGGGAGACACTGCAGTACTGAAACCGTGATGCCATGACATCATCATCACCACCATCCTCATCCTCCCGCCCCCTCCTGGGTCAGCTGACCCCTCAGTGGGATGTCTTGTTGGGTCCACAGAGCGGTGTTACTTCTGCTGTGGCGGCCCACCAGGTCAAACGCTGAACACTTGTCAATTATCCTTTTTTTTTTTTATTAAAAGCCTAATCGTTCTGTTGTTGGCTCCCTGCCTCACTACACTGCTTACAGACACACACTCATTTCCATACACACACACACCTCAGGGTTCCAGGACTTGGACTGCCTCCTGAGCAGCTTCAGAGCGCTGGTGTACTCGGCCTGGATCCGCCTGGCCGGCCCCATCAGGTCTCCGTCCGCCTTGGTCACCACCACCAGGTCGGCCCTCTCGATGATGCCCCTCTTGATACCCTGGACATGGATTTTGGCAGAACACAGTGGGAGGCTCATTAACTTCCTCAAACACTGTAAATAAATCTGATGTCTAGACATGTAATCTTCTGAGGGATCTGTGTACAGAGTGATGGATGAATGGATGGAGCTGTGCTCGGCTGCCTGTTTACTAATTTATTATTTTGATATTGGTGCTCTCTGTCCATCCCTCACTGATGTCAACTTCTGACTGATCTGAACAAGGAAAGCAATTTAGTTTATTTGTAAAAAACAATGTTCACCTGTTGAAATGTAGTTTCAGATCAGGTCTTGGTATACTGCTGCTGACATGACTGCAGCCATCAATGTTGTTCTCTAGTCATGCGATGTGTCATGTAGAAATCAAATCTCTATAAGTGATATATATTTATAAACTAAACACATAGCAATGCAAATGAAATAAACTATGATATAAAAAGGTAAAAATGTTATTCAGATCGCATAACAGTTTCGCTAAAAGCACAGACAGTTTAACCAGTTTAATCTATACAATTATGTGACATAGATTTCATTTATGTAATATATGACAAATGACATTGATGCCTGACAAATAACTGCTTAATGGACAACAATGATAACTTATGATATAATTGCTATTAGGGCTGATTAACTCGTGAAATAAGCTTTTTCTTTCTTTACATAAAAACCTGGCACATCGTTAACTTGATTTCTTCCCGCTCCTAACATCTGATGAATTGCTTGTTGCTCTCTGGTTCTTCACTGACCTGGAGTTCATCGCCCCCTGCTGGAGGAATCAGCAGCACAAACATGTCGACCATGTCGGCCACTGCAAACTCTGACTGGCCCACACCTGCAGAGAGAAGAATGTGTCACCACGGATCAGCAGGATGACAACATGTGATGCTCACTCTTCAAATCACTGATCAACTGAAGAATGGTCATCTAAAAACACTCCGCAGCAACAGAGCTTGTAATCTGCGGTCAGATTGCCTGTTAAATAGATTTGACAGTGACGGCAGAGAAAAAAAGGTAATTCATCATTTAATAAAAGACATAAATTAGCCCTCTTATTAACATCCTTTAATAAGTTACTAACTTAGTTTATATATGTATAATTATATCTATTTTTGTATTTATGTTGATTTTTTCTGATGCTCTTTTTCAATATTTCTATTTGAGTTTGTTTGCTATGATTTTTCACTTTTCATTTCTAATGTTTAATCAGATATTTACTGGCACCAAAACCTATTTGTCATAGATCACTTTTCAGGTGTAAAGAAACTTGATTAAAATGAATATGATGGAGGAGTTTGAGGGAGGAAATCTACAGAAGGTAAACGTTGGTTTTGAATTTAAAAAGATGTATATAACACTAGGAAAATTGCTTCAATGAGAGCTGTATTATGTGATTAAACAATACAATATAATATCCTCCTGAGAGAAGATTCCTTTTCAGACCCACCTGAAGACACAGTGTCTTACCTACGGTCTCCACGAGGACGATGTCATATCCCGCCCCCTCACAGAGAACTACGGCCTCGTTAGTGGTTCTGGTGACGCCACCCAGAGTTCCTGAGGCCGGAGAGGGTCTGATAAAAGCGTCCATGTCCCTGGAGAGTTCAGTCATACGAGTCTTATCACCCATCAGAGACCCTGCAACAAGAGGGAGGATTCTGTTTGTATCAGAAACAACACAGTGGTGATGTTGAGTTTACAAATATTATAGTTATAGCGATATTACTATATAAAATGTACAAACAGTCATTACTAAATCTATAAGCTAAACATCTTTACACATCACTTTACGAACTGACATATAAATCTGTGATTCTTCTTTCTTCCTTTTATTAGATCAAATAACTATCTTACCGTCTTAGGGTTCTTTTATTTGTATTCTCTTGGCTTTTTAAATGTCTGTTTAAATGTATTTGAAGGACATTTTATAATGTGTTTCTTTGTGTTAATGCAAAATGTACAGTATATACTTATCTTGCCTTGACTAAAGCACACAATATCATCATTTCATCAGTATCGTATGATGATCAGTGCTCACCTCCTGTAGTGCAGGAGGACGGGTCTACAGCCAGCACTGAGACCTTGTGTCCACGTCCTGTCAACATCTTCCCCACCACCTCGATGAAGGACGACTTCCCTGCTCCTGGAGGTCCAGACAGACCTGAGGAATCGACAGAACAATACGTATCTAAACTATATTGAGGAAGCCTGATGAATCCGGTGTACACAAATCTAGGGGAAAACATCTTGCCTTTCAACATGGACGTTTGGAACGGACACTTTAATGTCAAGTTTAGAGGGTAATTGTCAAGAGTGGTCAACATTTCCAGTACATTTTAGAGAAACCACAGCTGAAACTAAGTGGTAGGTGTGAGGGAATAATTCTTCCTTACTCCTAAGATATTTAACCTTATTGCCTGTTAACGTTTACGACCAAACCCTGGCTCTGTTATCTCTCTTAAGGAATGGGAGGCTCCAGCTATCTTGATAAACCAGTTCAACTCTCGGTCACGAAATGGTTTACGGCTGTGGGAACGCTGGCTTTCTAAGCTCCACAGATGTTTACGCCTCCCTCAATATGCTGATTAACTCTCTGTAAACTAGTTAAAAGGTCTATCGAGAGATAGGCTGATCAGAATTGACATGACAACCCACCCGTGCAGTCAGAACCTTTTGCTGCTGTGATATGAATTCTCCGGCCGTATCCTTGTAATAAACTATCATTGTTTGACATCAAAGCTCCAACTCTCCTCGTGTCTCTCTGAGTCCTGACTCTCCATTGCTGCAGAAGTTTCCCTTACAGTAGGCATGCACAGAATAAAACAAATAAAACTTTCGACATAACAAGTGGCCAGTGAGCGTGAATTATAGTGTCGTTACCCTAGCATAGCAGTAACATGCGTAACATGCAAAAAAAACGTTAGCCAGACCACACACCTACTCTGAAGGCCACCGGCTTCCCCCCGTTCCGGCTCTCCTGCTCCCTCCTGTAGGCGAGCACCCTCTGCAGCAGCACCTGGGCCAGCTCTTTCTTCCTGGGATGCTGGGTCTCCACCAGAGTGATGGACTCAGCTAGAGACGCCCGCTGTCCCCCGATCAGACCTTCGTATAGTTTATCCAACAGTCTCTGTTCAGCTCCACTCAGGTCCTGTATGTGCTGCCTGAGGGCTGAGCTGCTCATATTCCTCCTGTGCTGCTGGAAGCCGTGACCCGTGATGGTGCTCGTGTAAGAACCAGTAAAGACCCTTCGGTGGAGGCAACATGTCCGACTAGTCGAGGGGAGAGAAGAGATGTGGCGGAGGAGGGAGAAACCAAACCGTCTCATTTTAGGGAATACGTAGGGCATCTAGGAGGAGAAAGAAGATGAAAAACAATGAGTCAGGGGTGACTTTTTGAGTATTATCTTGTTTCCTTCAAACCAGTTTGTAAAATACTTTAAAAATCAAACATTCCACTCTTAAAGCTAAATTGGAGGTAGTTGTATCAACCATGGATTGCGATCTGGTCAAAGGTCCGCCAACAATTTTGTTTTGTTGGCGGATCTCTAGGATAATCACAACCACATGACACTTTACAACCACCAACTTGAAACCCAGGACATTGGGAGAATGAACAGATTTCCTAAATTAGTTTACAAAAAAAAAGTGTGGTTCTTAAGGTCTTGGCAGGTAAATGTGGATTTACTATTTAATCAATTCTCGTGTGGTAACAAATTAAGAATTTAGGACAAGTTCTGTGTAACAAATGGTGTCAACTTTTTACTCTCCTCCTCCCTCTAAAAAAGCATAGAGGGTAAAGTGATTCAAAGAAGGGAGTACTTCTCAGGTAGTGATATTTTGCAGCTCATTTATTGCCCTGGCTACCTAGAAATAACATTAGCTATAAAAATAACATTTGCATGACAAAATAATGCTTCAATGATGAATACACTGAGGACTACGTATTCTTTGTCATGAATATATGCGCCAATTCATGCTGGAACATGCAATGATGCTTGGAAATAGCTCATTAACTTCCAGAAAAACATCAACAAACATAATTTTGTAACGGTTATCCTTCATTGTACGTTGGGCTAACATTATGTAAACACAACGTTTATCTGAGCTGCAAGTATATACTGTGTCACACGTGTAATATAGCTAATAAAACACTTTATACCAATTGTTAGAAGAAAAATAAAAACTCTGACCTCGTACCAGCTTCATGGAGGGGTTACGGTTGTTACATTCAACAACTTCCTGTTTCCGGTGACGTAACGCAACGCCCCCGACAAATCCTTCCGTCCTAACATTTATGAAATACAACTTTCAATAAATAAAGATATTTACCAAATATATGTAAAACTGCCAATTGTCTTTACAAAAATTGAGGATTTGTAAATGTTAGTCGTTTACGAAAACAAATTGAAACTCTTATGAGGACAGTGGACACATTTCAGCAGAAGGTGGCAGCAGAGGTTAATTTTCACATCCAAACTGAACCATGGCTTTATAATACATACTATAGTCTGTGACAGCGCCATATAGAGAGATTCTATTATTCTATTATATATTATTATTATATAGATATTATATTATATGGCTATGGTCATGCACACTATGACCCAAACCCATCTTCTACCTAAAAAGCATAAAACTTGACATCATTACATTGCATTGTGGCAATATTACTCCTAAATTGATAATTGTATCTTATATGTAGACAGCCACATTATATTGTGTTTTCAGTTAGAGTTTCAAGTGAAAGATGGAGAGTTGACAGATTAATCATTAGTACATCACAAGGTAGAGAAACACTGATTCTATAATTGTTTCCACCCAATTTTAGCTACAAAACCAGGAAGATTGTCTTCAGTCTGGTAAAGTAAAGACTGACGTGTGTCCCAACCATAGACTGTATATATAAAGGTCCCAACACTCACTCACACTAAGTCATAGACGTTCACAGTCTGCAGTCCACCTGACGTGCCTGTCTGTGGAATTTGGGAGAAACATGCAAACTCTTGGGAGGCAACAGTACTAACCACTGTGCAACCATACCACCCACGTCATGTAGTCATGTGCAGTGGCGTTTTCTCCCGGAGGCCAAGGGAAGCCAGGCTTCCCCTGTTTTTTCGGATTGTAGTTATAATTTAAATAAATAAATACAAACACTTTGTTTTGTTTCGATAATTCTCCTTTGCTGTGTGTTGCTGCCGGCCCGTCTCTCCCCCATTCTCATTGAGTATTTTACAAAGAGTGAAACAAACAGCGCCCCTCTAGATGTTATGGTGAAACAGTAGATTGCACTCACTGTTGCGAGAGGAGGCCAGCCGAATCTAGCTTCCCTTGGTGAAAAAAAATGGAGGGATTGACCAATCAGATGAGGCCCACGTGATGCCCCTGCCAACCTGTGATTGGTCAGGGCCATGCCAAGGGAAGCTAGCCGCCTCTTGCTTCCCTTCAGAGGCGGCTGGCGGCTGGCGATTTGATTGGACACTGCCATCCAATCAAATCACATCAACATCAGTTTTAATACTGTAACTGTCATCACCGCCGTTAGAAATTATCAAGCAAATGAAGCATTATGGAGGGTGGAGATTTGGCGTACTTAATCAAACATAACTTTACTAAACTTCCGCTACAGCAGCAACTAAAAATTAAATCATATGACAGGCAAATGCCCGCACTCGAGCTGTGTGTACGCAGAGGAAAAAGGGAGAGAATCGGACGTTCAATGAGGACAATTATGTCCGCACGGAGTGGCTACCTGGAAGCGCTAAACTTCAGCGTCTAATTTGCTGGCCATGTCTTCTTTTTGACAAGGATTCGTGCTCCCTGAACAATCCTTGGGCAACTTCAGGATTCATCGACCTTGCCAACCTGTCACGGGCAATTGAGAGGCACGGTAAATCCAAAAATCACATAGATTGTGTGATTGTCTGCATACATTAATAAGTAAAATGCTTAAATTAATAAGGAGAGAGTTTCAGCTGGAGAGTGCGTGCGGACCTGTCGGTTAGATAACAGGCGTGTGCAAGTCCTGCATCTGTGTGATACCAATGTGTGTAAAATGATACCGGGCGCTGTAATCACTCATCTGGTTACGTTATTGACCACCCCCCGACCCAAAAAATGGGCTTCCCCTACATTTTTCCCCACGCCACGCTACTGGTCATGTGGAACTCCGGCACACACACACACGCTTAAATCAGTGATTTCCAAGGGAGTTTCCTGGAAGATTGTTATAACTGTTCCACTACTGTCACAATGTGTCCTATAAAACAAAAGAAAACCCACATGTATTTTCCAGCAAGTTAATAGAAAATGAAATCCCACTTCACATTAGTGCAGTTGGCTGCACTTGTAATTGTTGCACCTCTCTAATTGGAGGTCTACATTCATGCACGCACACACACACACACTCAAAAAGTGGTTGATGTTTTTTAAAGACCCGACAATACCATATTGCATATTTTCCTATCATGGGTGGCCTGTAATTAAACAGACAGGCACACAAACAAACAAACACACACACACACACACACACACACACACACACACACACACACACACACACACACACACACACCCTGACACAGTGCATATAAAAGAGTTTGAGATACTGCAAGTAATGAAACAAATTTATTGAATCTTCCAGTAGAGGCTTGATATTCATGGAATAAAACTGCTTTTCTGGGAGTTTTACTGAGCAAAAACAGAAAGAAGGAGAAAGAAACTAAAACAAAACAAAGAGGCAATGTGTGAAAGTGCAGACAAACCAAAACAAAAAAAACATGTTCAGAAAAATACAAAAAGAATGTAAAGAGTAATACAGTTTAATAGCAAAGAGGATTGCATAAAAGAATTGAATGGCAACATCTGCATTTTATAAAAACAAAAATAATTAATATTGGGACATCAGTAACCTTTTTTCTGTCAACAATTACAATTTGAATGCTCAACATTTCCCCATAGCAGTCATTTAAAACGTGTTGCTCAGTCAATGTAATAAGAGAACGATGCAGTTGCTGAAATATTTATGTCCTCAATGTCACTCTGTATTTGACACATTTCATTTTACTGCAGAGTTTACAGCGAAGGACAAACTAAACTGCACTTGCCTCTGCTTCTTGTGGTGTTAAGCTACCAGTCTTAAATGTGTGAAACTACACTAACCAAACTATGCTTTGCAAAACCAGACTGCACAGCACATAGTCTAATAGTGAATATATCTAAACACTATTCTTTTTTTCCATAAAACTCATTCAATGCAAGATGAGCAACATTTAAACATTAATCTTTTTTTCATGAGTCGTCTGAAATGCCCTTTTAGTGCCATGCCCCACACTAAACCCCTGTCGTAACTCTCAAACTCCCCGTAGTTTTGCCCTGTTGTTTTTTCATGGCGATATGTGATTCTATTTTTATAAAAATGTTGAAATGCTTTAATTTGTTAACCTAAAAAAAGAACATTTTGAGTAAAACAGAATACTTGTTTAAGTATCTGGAGATGATTAAAAATGTTCAGTCCAACTCCCTGCAAACATTTTACATGTTGTAAGTACATTTCATGTTAACCTCGTTGCAGTCGGGCAGTAAACATCCGCCAGCTGCAATTTGGTGACCTGGAATGTCCCATTATTATTGTAACTACACATTTATCTTGATTTCAGAGGGAATATTTAGATGAAAACTAGCAATGAGTCAGAATTATAGAACAATGAATAAGAGACATTGTTGGAGCAAGATCAGGGAGGATACTTGCGTCATGATGAGTGTGATGGTCTAATTATTACAGTTGGTCACAAAGATCAAGTATCTTCCAGTTGCATCACGCTCACTTTGCTTACGCCTCTCCCAGACTGTAAATGTGCCCAATTCAGACATCCTTCAAGTAGAGAACAAACCGACCCATTTAACAAAAACGCCCAGCCCCACTGGTTCCAGATCAGCTTGTGTTTCAGTCAAAACCTCCATCAGTTATGGGAAAAGGCAGACTTGCTAAACCACAAGCCAATCTGGGAAGCTATTCTTGCTACTTAGACTAAAATGCTGGGGTATGGACAGCCACGAGGCTGAGGACAGCGAAGCCTAGGAGACGGAGGATATGGGGTTGTGGGGAGAGCCCATCTGGGTTAGCACCTTATCCAACCACTGCAGGGGGCCGTGCAGGTGAATCTCAATCCAGCAGGGTGTGCTGGTCACATCCTGACGGTGGTACTCTGCTCCCCAGCCCTGGAACACATAAAGACAAAACATTTTGAATTATGCCACAGGATATTGCTACATCCTGCTGTACTTGCATATGTCTTGTTTAAGTCTTATTTTTTTATTTTCTCCCGGATGGCCAGGAAACTGGGAGAGAAAGGGGAGGACCAGGGGCGGCGGGTACTGTAGGCTAGGGAAGGCTAAGCCTTCCCAAATATTTGTGTCACTGCATCCTGGTAAAATTAAAATATAATGTATAATGTTTGTGTCTTTGACATTTGTGCTTCTATGCAGCCACCTGTGCCCTGTACGAAGCCAGTTCAACAGACCCTGGATATGTTTGAGTTATCTTAACTAACCCTAACAAACGAGATCTCGGTAAGCGGTCCTACGACGCTGGTTATCAACTCGGTAAATCAAGCCAGCCAGGGTTTCTGTCTCCAGCTGAAAGCGCGTTCATGTGAAAGGGGCGGGGTTAGCAACATTTGACCAATCACAAACAGGGACAAGTGTATTGACAGCGCAGCGTCATACTTCATTAATGAAAAGTAAACTAATATTAGACAAATATGAACTTTAACCATCCATGACTTAAACATATATTCCAGGATACAAGCCACATAGTTGCACCTGCAAGGAGAATACAGAACAACTGGTTAAAAAATAACTACAGAGTGTTTGAAAGCGTACAACAGTTTTATGATATCACTGCCCCATCGACACTAGTGGATCTGACTTTAATTACATTTGACTTGAATGTTTCGTCAACGTAATGACACTGTAAGTGTTGCACGGCCAGATACGGCTCGAGAAGCTGACTCAAATAAGGAAATATTGTGATATTATATGATCGATGATCTGATTGAATGTGATATGAATGATAAGTGCGAAACGTCGGAGTCTTCTCTGCATACGGCAGTTTAAACTATATTTCCTTTATCCTGTAATATGACTTGATAGTTTTAAACTCCGCACACTGAGCTCTGATTGGTCAGCAGGCGGTGCTTTCAATGAGTTGATCTCTTTTCTATAGACGCCGGAGGCGGGCAGCATCAGGTAAAAAAAAAGTTATTTAGCCTTCCCAAACCTGAGCCTCACGCGCCGCCTATGGGGAGGACATGTTGCAAAGGGCCGTGGTCAGGACTCAGCCTTAGTACATGGAGCATCTGCTCTACAGGTGAGCTACCAGAGAGACCCTACTACTGTGGAGTCTTAATGTTGAGCTCTGCTTGAGTCCATATAAAGATTTAATTTTCTATCAAGATTTCCACTGTTACTGTAGATATTTGTAGCAAATTCAGGAAAAGAGTTTTACAGTATCTGAATGTATTCATTTTACAGATGTTTTACTGAGGATGAATGTAGACCTCTAAACATGGAGAAAACTGTTTTTTAAACACTTGTAGCCTTATATAATGTCACCAAACATCCAAAAGTTGTTGCTGCCAGAGATACTGTTAATTGCACTTTGCAGAGAAAGGCGTCAACTTACAACCAGCACATTTGGGGTGCATAAATTAATAGGAAGTACAGGAAGTACATTGTGCATCAAAAATATAATACTAAAAAAAAAGTCTTGGTGATTTTGATATTCCAAATGAAGTTTTATTTGATAGTCAAAATACATGTTTATATTTTCCCATATTTATTTTCTTTTTTTTATAAAAAAACGAACAATGGACCAAGTCAGTTGGATCAAATCGTTTTTCTAAATACAGGGAGGTAAAGATTAACATCACCCAGTCAACAAATGTCATATTTTTAATAAAAAAAGCCTACCTTAACGAAGCTCATGCGGATGGTACACATCTTGGTGAGCTCGTAGACGGCCTCGAAGCCGTGGTTGACGGATTGGGCCAGCAGCTCAGCAAACTCCTGGTTGTTGAAGATTTTCAGGCTGCAGCCGCTGGGAATCTTACACACGGTTGTGGGATGGAAGCCGTGGTGATAGTTACAGTTACGACTCTGGACGAAGATACTGCTGTCACTCAGACACTCTGCGTACACCTCCCCTCCAACATAATACAGATGGACACCTGAGAGGAAACAAGGAGAATTAGTGTTGGTCACTTTCATCAGCAAAAAACAAAGGCCCCCAAACATCAGTGTGGCCATTTACAATCAATACACACACACATGTTGACTCAATCTGTTGTTATTGTTCCTATTGACAAAGTGAATTGATTTAGCCTTGGCTGCTGACAGTCATTCGCTAAATGGTTGTGTCCGTACTGCACCTTTGCCGATGTGCCGCCGGGTGTTCTCGATGGTGGAGTTACGGTTGACGTTTGAGAGCAGGCCGAGGCAGAAGCGGTTGCGGTTGTTGGAGGGATCTGTGAAGCCGTCCACGAGCACGCTGGTGGAGGACGCCTGGAAGGCCTCTCCGACACGATTGTTGAGCTCGTAGTAAACAATAGAGCACCAGTGCTTGGGCTCCTCGTAGGCCACCGGCTGCACATCTGCGCAGGAAACACATTAACAGGTCACAGGACTGAGCTGAGTACACTGTACACACAGAGATGGACCCAGACACATTATGCACATTTAAGATTCCTCTGAGCAGACTCCGGATGCCAGGAGCCACTGATGCCAGCTATAAATCTTACTCATCTGCACAATTATTTCATGCAAATTATCCCCCAAAGCCCATAATAAACATATAGGACCCACCGGCTACATTTGAGTACATTTATGCGGACCAAAATCAATGTGGACGCATCCTAAATGCCCACTGTCTGTGTGCCAGCTTTATTGAGCAGAAAAACTGTCAATAGAAGGTGCCTGGCCATGCTCTCTGAGCCAGTGCCAGCTGGCCCCTCCCTATCTGAGAGAGAGGAATAAATCATGTTTATCTAAGCAGATACTTCTCCCAAACCTCCCCTGTAGCGTGGCACTGGCTAGCAGGTGTGTCTGTCCCTTTCCCGGAGCTGGTCTACAATAGAAACCCTCTCCGCTGTACAGGATGCAGCTTGTGCAAAAGAATAAAAAAACTCCCCAAACTCCTACTTCAGCAAACATTTCAACAGCTCTTTCCCGCTGCTGCTGCTCCATGTGTGGGCAGAATGTTTGGGCCCTGAGTGCATGATCATAAAAAAGCACAAATATTTTGATGGTCAGGTGTGGAAAACTAGAGTTCAGACCAAAGTCCAGCTGCTATTCCAACATGAGGTGAGAATAATTTAACTGCAAACACCTGCATGGTGTGTTAGTGCAGACAAAATGTAACCACGGAAGAAACATTTTGTTTTTTAAAGTTTTGGTGTTCGTTTTTTAATTGGCTGTGAAAAAACATTTCGCCCCAAAGTAATTTCTAAAATGTAGGAATGCGCTACACCCAAGTGAGACAGGAACAAGTACAACAGTCAGACATGTTTTATACAAGCCACTGTATACCAGTCTGCAATAAGTTCATGCTCTAGAAATAATTTGGAGAAGAGAAAATCCTTCTTTGATGGCACTGCTTACAACTCATTAGATATGCCTGTTGTTATAAGGGGACGCAAGTTGACATTGCTTTGTATAAAGGAGTTACAAGCAAAAAAGGCTTGGAGCCACTGATCCAAATAATCTGATATGTGACTAATTATCCTAATGTACCTAATGTTACCTCAGTTAACATTAACTATATTATGTATTAGGTAAGAGTTGTACAAGGAAGTCAGTCTGTAAACTGAAAAGTAAGACTACAATGGAATGTTTTCCTCTTCTTATCTGATGTAGGGGTTTATTTTAATCTCAAAGATCTGTATCGGGCTGATGGAGGATTTTTTTACTGATGGGTATCGGCTTTATTGAGCTCAATCTGATCCTTTGTTTTATCTCAAATTCACAGTCACACAGGTGATCTGTACTTGTGAGACCTTCATGCTCAGCAACACTACAAGTGCAGCTACTGTCAACTCTCCAAGAACATCATAATTATACACATTAGAAACAAATACTACTACAGAGGGTTTAAATACAAAATAAAAACGTTAGGAACTGCTTTGAATGACTCACATTGGGGCAAAAAAACTTTATCAGTCAAAAACGAATGGAATTACCCTTTCAATCACAAAGCTGTGGAGTCAAAACATGTCATTACGTATTCATGAATGCCAGGTTCAGATGTGTCTCTAGTACAATAAAACCAAAACCACAGAATGGAGATAGCAGCAATTATCGCACCACATTTCAGATCTGAAGATGGGGGTAATTAGTGATCTTATCGTTAACGAGTTTCAAGTCATTACCACCAGCAGAGAAGACACACTATAAGCTTTTATAGGCCTCATAAAACTGCTCTGAGGCCAGGCTTAATTTGCTGAGGCTTTGAGCTCGCACCCACAGACAGAGGCTCGCTGTAAACTGGCAGATCCTCTCCACACGCAGATCTTATCGGATATGTCCGACCAACTCAGCTGAGACTTTTGTTTTTTTAATCTGGAGGTTGACCACAGGAAAAATAAAACAACTTTAAAAATAACTAGACTTCCCAGAAATCCATGCACCTGCAGATCAAGGCGAGCAGGTGCAGACAGCTTTATGTGGATGATATCAGCGGGAATTCAAGGTTAGATGTGTGCTTGTTTGATATACTGTAGTAATTGCTATGGTTACCTGGCCGGTTGTTACTCTCTATGGGCAATGTTGGAGCCAGCAGGGTGGTGTCCATCGGCTGGGGGATATCCTGCGTCATCTGCTCCTCTGGGGGCATGTAGGCAGGAGGAGGGGTGTCTGCATCAGGAAGGAGGAAAACACAAAGGGCAGGGAAGTGAGTTGTTGTTGTTCAGTACGGAGGAAAACAAATACAAGTTGAAGACATGTTCACCGTGGATCTCACCTGGCATCTGGAAGGGACTGCCGGGGTCCGTGCTGGATGGCGAATGTGGGAAGGTGGCGCTGCTGCTGCCGCTTCCTGGCGAGCTCGGGTAGCTGTTTACCGGCGAGGTGGGAAAAGTGGCGGGTATTGTGTTGACCTGAGTAAAGGATTCTGGGAAGGTGGCATTCTGCGGCATGTGCGGCTCATTCTGTTGTAGAGGGTTGCGGAAGCGAGGCAGCATTGTATGCTTGGCGTTGAACTCGCTGTTCCTCGGTACCAACACAGGGGGCAGCACTGAGGAAGACATAACAACGGTTAAAACAGGAAGTGCTTTGATGCATCTCTCTTTATTGTATCCACCTTAATTATTTTAGTTGATTCATAGATTGTTTTTATATCACAACATATATCACTATCATGATGTAAAAGTAGATTAACTATAATTAATTAATTAATTAATTAATTAATTATAAAAAGAACCCAAGATTACCATAAAATCCATAAAAATAACTTTGTAGTGTAAGTCTGTATGTATAGTTTGACTTTAGGCTTGCGTCTCAGACATGTGAAATCTATTCACACAAACTGAAAAAGAAAGTTATTTAACTCCAACATAATAATGAAATATTGTTCTGGCACTCTCTTTATGTCTACTCTACATTCTTGTTGTAGATGTCCCTGCATTTTTCCAAATGTCAGCTTCCAGCCTGTTGGTGTTTGCCAGCAGTATTTGGACTAGACTCTCGAGTTTCTGCTCTGAAAAGACATTTTGAGTCTAGCCATTCTTGAGTAATTCATCACTTGGCGAAACTATCCTGGCTGATGTGAGGGCTATTCAGGTGCAGTACATACAATCCACAGAGATATGCTCCACTTGTGTCTATAAATACCTGTGCAGATAAATAAAGCTGGTGCTGAAATATTAGACGGGCCCACGCTGCTGTCAGTAATTCTGCAGGTAGCCCATGTGTGCTGCGCCAATGCATCAATGTAGCAGTTTATATCAAAGGTTACATGTGAAGCAGGTCTTTGGTGGAATAGTGAAGGGAGATTGACAGGATGTGTGTGTAGACGGGTGTTGTTAGGGGAGAGAGAGGGGGGGGAGGGTGTGGACAGACAGGTGCTGTGGGGTTTAATCACCTTAGCCCTCCGTCCTACACCCGCTGCTAAAACAAAAAGTGTGCAACTCTTTCCTCCAATTGTGTGTGTGAGTGAGAGGCTTCCTGTTCCAGCTATCCTCAGAGAAACTGTGTGTAGTCATGTGTGTGTATTCACGTGTGTATCCTGTTTTTTGTAACCCTCGAGCAAGAGTGTGTGTGAGTGTGTGAGTGTGTGTGTCTCAATGTGTGCATAACTATTACAAAAAGGCGAACAGCACAGAGCATGCCCAAAACAAAGCCCTCATTCTCCCCCAGATGGAAATTCCTGCTGCACACACACATGAACGAACACACACACTTGGCCCCTAACACACTTAGCACCCTGCACACAGCTGTTTCTATCTTGTCAGCTGACCCTTATTAGTTTAGTAAGAGGCCAAATACTGTTTGATTTGTCTTGGTTCTCCACTACCTTTGCAGTGAATGCCCCAAGTATCTGGACTGTTTCTAAAAACCCTTCACAACATAGGTAGTTAAATAAAGCCTTTTTAGGTCTTTTATTATTTTAACCCATTTGATAGTTTTTAAATCTCTTAATCTTTGATTTGTTATAATCTCTTAATGAGGCGAAGATTCTGCAGTCAGTCTTACAGTCTGATAAATCAAAGGAGGGTGGTGTTTTCTCTTGTCATTTTGACCAGATAAAAAACCTTTTTGAAAAGATGATAAGAGAGGCAGTAAGAAGATAGATCTGCATAAGTCATTTCAAGAAAATACAAAGTTCTGGGTAGGAGTAATCATTTACAAACTTAGAAAACTGCTAAAGAAGTTCCTGAAATTCTTTTAAATAAAATGTTTTGTCCTCTTTTTAGGAAAAGTAAAAATGGGGATGTTGTGATCATAGTCAATGGGGTGCTGTAACCACTAGGCCAGATTTCTTAACATCAATTTAGAAATAATTTCTATCAAGTTTATTTTTATTCTCTGGGTCTATCCTCAATCTTTTTTTCTATAATCCACTAAATTAAAATCTGAGTCATTCTTATTCCACCTTATGAAAGGATTGCGGTGACCAAATTAATATAACTAATTTCTTGTTTTATAATACCACTGACAATGTGTGTCAGCCCCAACAATACTTATTCACTTAATAAGGTCAGTATTGGTCCTGATAGTCGCAGTGCATCCATAAAAAAACGATTTCAGGTCCTTATCACTCACCTGGACTGTCCCACTCGTTTGTAGTGGTAGGGGTTGATGCACACATCCTTCTGTTTGGCGCCGAAGGGGAACTCGCAGCATTCCAGGGCCTTCAGCTCGTGGTGAGACTGCAGGTCGGGCCAGCGCCACACCCGACAGTAAATGACGTGCGGCAGACCTTTCCGGTGGGACACCTGCAGCCGCCCGTCCAGAGAGCGGGGGATGGTCACACAGTTACTGACCTGACCCGGGCAGCTGAGAGCCCTCTCCAGCTCCTCCATGGCTCCCTTCTTCTTTTTCAGTTTCTTAACCAGAGCATCCACAGCCTTTTCCGCCCATTTCTCTTCCTCGTCTCCCTGCTTCCAACCCAGCAGCCGTTTGACCGCCGGGCTGGTGAAGGAGAAGAGCGAGGTGACATTCATGATGGACGAGCCGTCCTCCTCCCCTCTCCTTTCTGCCCAAAAAAAGTGTGAGCAGCGGTTGGGGAAAGTCCAGTATTAGAGGATGAAAATATCGTCCTTTTGGAGTTTCAGGTAATCCTCAGATTCCAAGATGTAGGATCAGATCCTCTTGATAGTCACTCACTGTAAGAAAAGCAGAGTTAGGTTAGCATTTATGAGTAAAATGTCCTTTCTTTCAGAGATTTCAAACACATGTCTGCAGATCAGTCCTGCTAGCTGTGTCCTTTCTCTTACAAAGTTGTAGCAATATAAACCTCTCCCCCTTTTGCCCCCGAGCAGCACTGACGGCTCACCAGAAGACTGCCTGGACAACACTTCATAAGGAGATCATGTCACCATTATAGCCGTAATGGCCAAGTCCATCATGGCTTCTGGGAAACTGGCAGAGGAGTCATGACGGACAGCCTCCCGTGAACGTCCGCCCCAATCAGGCATTCTCCGGATAGCTTCCTGTGCGTATGGCTTGTCACATTACCACCGCTCTCTAATGTAATTTACTGTAAATGACTTAATATGTAGCATACACAACCTGTAGGAATTTAGCCCGCAGGTTTAACCCCTAAGTCACTTTGCAGACATGTACACTGTTAAACGTAGGTTCAATCTGCCACGCTGTTTTTCTTCAACATTTATTTTATACAGTAACTATACAGTATGGCAGCCGAATAATTTGTTTAGCATTGATTTACTATTTCAACTTTACCATCAGCGGCAAGTAATGGTAATAATGCTGATAATGAATTATTCAATTTTCCTTTTAGAGTACAAATCATATTTAGTCAATCATCTTAAAGGAGTTATCAGCGTGAGGCAACGTCGGATACTCAGTTAAAATACTACCCACACATTTCAAAAGCCCTAGTTGCTGTCTTTAATTTGGTTATTTATGCGATATTTGTATCCATACTTTCAGAGGGAAACTTCCAATGAGTCGCCTGCTGAGAAAAATGTCCTACAAAGCTTGAACGCCACCAACCCACAAACACTGGGCAGGAATCTGGCAATGTGCAGGACAATAAAAAGGAAGTGCACGTGGACCCCAGGATAAATGTGCCCATTCACCCGGGTCCCACAGGAGCAATTTTGTAGCCAGGACATAACGCGCATTCAAGCTTTTAAATGGGAAAACAGAAGCTCTCCCAGTTCTTTTCAAGTTCTCTTTCTAAATACAATTAGGGAAGATAGAAACAGAGTTATGGTTGAGGTTTGGCTTTGCACAAATGCTCAGATGCACTCCTAGAATCAAATAAAGAGCTTGTCAGAAATCCTCCACCTTTTATCCGCACTGACTCACGGGTGGGGATGCATCACTCCCTGACAGTAAAGCCTGCAGTATATTGGATTTCCTACACGCAGGCACAAATACATCATTAAGACTGCCCTGTAGTTATTCTTGGCCCTTCAGATTATGGGATGAATAGCGATTTCTATCTTTGTCAGCTACTGCATGTGTAGGCTACATCATGCCGACCAACGGGGAGGGTAGTTTGATGAGAACAGGTGCTGTTTACAACGTGGGTGTGTTTGTGTGTAGTGTGCTCTATTGCCAACCCCACTGACGGGAAAGCAGCAAGTTGTACCTATACTTAGCTTAGCTTTAGAATCACACTGGCTAATCATAAGTTACGCTACTACTTACATACAAGGGAGAGGAAACTGGAGTGTGTGCGTTTGTGTGTGTGTGAGATCAAGGGACAACATATCTCCACACTGAAATCATTTTCACTATGATATCATGAATTGCTAGCATCCAAAAATAACAACTCTCCACCATCATAGAGACAGGAAACAGGCTGTATCATTCTGTGTTATATCTGTCATCGCTCACACTGCAGTGACATCACTTCCTCTTGCTGAGAGCAGCAGGTTTTTCCACAGGTGCAGGGTGGGAGAGAAAAAGGCAGTTTCCCCAACTCACCACCCCTGACTTTTGATCTTCCTTTCTCGCTCTCTCTCTCACCAGTTTCCTGATTGTTACAACTGGAGGAGGATGGGTCAGAAATGTAATGGGTGTTGCCTCTGTTCCCGCCTGTTTAGTCATTAAAATAGCTCTATTGCAGAAATATTACTACGAACTTAAAAAAACAATTCTTGTTGTCAGGGCACGTAATCCATTGTAATATTTTTGTATTTCATGACCAATTAACGACTATTTAGATGCCTTAATTTAAAGAATAGAAACAGGTTTTTCTACAAGTTAAAAGTTGTCGTTGACGTTTTAAAACCCTGATATTGAAACATTAAATATTAACATCTTATCTTGAAAAACTTAAATGATCAAACAAGGTTTCCTGTCAACTGAATATTTGTTAAAAATGTTTGTAAGTATTATATTCAACCAGACATCTAATACCTACTTTTGATATTTGACCGCTATGCACACATTACTGAAGGTGCTAATAAAGTTTTGGGGTTAAAACCCAAGAACATCTCAAATGTCAAGACTATGGTCTCTGCTCTCCCCTTGTTCCGCGTTTATTATTTTATGTATAATATCATTAAATATTTTCCAAATGTTCAAAAGCTGATAGTACTTTGTGACCTTGTCTGACGCAGAACTGACATCCTCACACAAAGCAAAATACGTACTTGAACTCTGAGTGCTGAGCACAACAATACATCAAGTTCAGAAGGGAATAACTGTAACATCATCTCTGTACCACGGTCACCATCCAGACACACAGTGAGTCTTTTTGATCCATTTCCAGCCGCAGAGCTTTGATGGCCTCTCAGTAACATCCAGCACTATCGGCACAAGTTCAGAACTAGTTGCGGGAAGACGACTTTTAATCAATTTCAGATGCAAGACGTTTCAAGCATCTGGAGCAGGCTTCCCGACCGTCTGTTGTTATTCTGCTGCAGCTGGAGACGATATCTCTCAGATATTTTCATCCCTGACAGAGAGAAATATCTGAATGCTGGCCAGACCACATGTTTATTTGAAGGGTCTGATATGGCTTTGTGTTGGTTCTTTGGACAATGCTAGTTTAGAGTTGCCAGTGAGGCAGTCAAAATATAAAGGCGCCTCCCTGTTCCTACTATACCTATGTATAGACTAGGATGTTTGCATGACATAAACTTATTATCATACTAAATTGCCATTTAGTTTGGCATCCTGATTGTGTTCATGTTGTCTGATATTGGTTTGCATTCCAGTTCAAAGAACAAGGTTGATATGAAAGTAGTTATTTCTTTAAAATGACTAAAAACTGTACCGTTGCATTGATCTTTTGATTCTTGTTGCCATTTCTGACACAGTTTTTCATTCATGTAGTTTTTTCCCTGAGAGATTAAACTAAATCCCACCAACAAATATCTGATTGGTTTGGTTGTTCTCCACCTAAAACATTGGACCTGTTTGAACCCCTTAAAAAATCTTTGATATGGTGAGCGGTTTAAATTGCTTCTAACAATTATCTCATAATCTGCAACTAAATATAATTTGTTATATTAAATCAATTGCTTGTTTTGTCTGACAAACAGCCCAAAGCACAAATGTATTAAATTAACAATTAAACAGAAAAAAATAGGAAGTTTCAGAGGGATAGAAAACTAACATCATTAACTGCGAGGCATTTTTTGACTTGTATGTATTACTTGTCTTAGAGTCAATGAAGAGTCCCACAGATGCCTGCAGTGGCCTTGGCTGCTGCTCTCCTCCCTATAAAAGCTGAAACACACACACCACATTTACACAACAGCTCCATAAAAACCACTCTGACATTCCCTACAGCTAAGTCCAGGCAATGCTCTCTCTATTGTGTTAGCGGTAGCTCGTTATGGCCCTGTTAGCCCAGCGGACAGAGATCCAGGGCTAATGGGAGCACAGAGTGGGATCATGCGACACTGTCAGGCGGGGGCTTTGACCCACCTGGTGCGAGCTGTTCGCCACTACACCAGCACCATGGATCATTTTGCACTGCTTCAGTGTCTGTTAATCAATTTAGGCCTGGGCTGTGTAGGATGAGGAGGCAGTAATGATGCTCTCCGGACCCTCCCCAGGGACGGAGCATTATAAAGAAGCTACATTATTTATCAGCAAGGTCCTGGATGGGGCCTCCATTAGCCCCCGCTCAATGGAGTCACTGGCTATAAACAGAGGAGTGCAGGAAGAGAGAGTGGAAAATAAAGGGAGAGAGAGGAAGAGGAGGGGGAATGATTCAGAAAGAGAAAGAGTGGAAGAAAGTGAGAGTGACGGCAGAGACAGAGACATAAGACAGAGTGATTGTTTTCTAGAGGGAGAGAGACGAAGACCCTCGTGTATCTGGTCTCTTAACCCAGCACTTCTCCATTAAGTGTATTCAAGGGTCATTACTGAGTTAAGAGATACACTACAAGGATGCAATATATGCTTTTACACAAATACAAATCATAGCCATGCAGCAATGACGTCTGAAAGCATCTCCAGAGGGGCAGCTGTTGCGAAGTTTAATATCACTTGAGGCCAAACATTGAACAAATCTGTTTTAGATATTTGTAAATGTAAAATATTTGGGGTTAGGACTGTTATTCAGACCTAATGTGAAGACATTGTTGAGTACATTTCTCATCAGAGAAGTTATTGGCAGATTCATTGATAGTGAATATAGTTGTTAGTTGCATCCCAATGAAAGCAAATTTACAAAACTATTCTTTCTAATTTATAGTAGTTTAGAATTGACACAATTCAAACCAGGATATGATCATACAAATTAAAATAAAGAAACTGAACAGGGCATTTGTTACCTATTGTTTGTTAAGATCCCTCACATTGTTTGAGTTGTGGACCAGAATATGAGATGGACATTTTACGGTTGAAAAATACATTTTATGCAAATCTGTTCAAGGTCTTTAGCAGACACACTTTCAATGTCCCAGGTCATTTTGAGTATCTATACTGACATGTCTTGCTACTTATTGGCCAATGTAAAGTACAAATGTACAGTATTTGGGACTAAATAATATTGGCTGATCATTCATCCCATCCTGACCACAGCTATTACTATTTACATTGGTTTAAAAAAGCATAGAGACTAAATAGCCTGACGTAGTAGATACTAATTTACCACAGCCCCATGTCTTTTAAAAACTGTTGCAGAGAAAGCTTGAAATAACCATGGGAGGTGTTGCCTTTAGTGACTAGACATGGCATTGACCTGGGGGCTCTTTAAACTCACTGGGGTCACTTCTCCTCACAAACACCAACACATACACACCTCTGACCTGACCTAAAGATTACACTAGAACAAGTGACAGAAGTCTAGCAAATCACACTTCTACTATAGTAAAACAAAAACCTTCTGACACCAAAACTTTGGTCAGTATTGTTCTGTCTGATGTGGGATGAGACTCTTTATGTCCCGGACGAAGCAGTCCGTCCCACACACGACTGCAGACATAACTAGCAAACACATGGGGTTTCAAGCAGCTATCTCAACCATGCATGGCACTCAGTGTTGGGTTAGTGTTGTGTTAGGTTGGACACCTCACCCCGACACATGGCAGGCTATGCTGCCGGCCGTGCAGACACTCAGGAGGGTTTAACTTCGTTCACTCACTACTGTTGTGACTGACTCTCTGGATACAGGAATGCTGCTAACCTATATTTACACCTTGTTGTTGAGTAGGGTTTTTGTTGCCTTTGCTATGGATAGATAGATATAGATATAGATAGATAGATAGATAGATAGATAGATAGATAGATAGATAGATAGATAGATATAGATATAGATAGATAGATAGATAGATAGATAGATAGATAGATAGATAGATAGATAGATAGATAGATAGATAGATAGATAGATAGATAGATAGATAGATAGATAGATAGATAGATAGATAGATAGATAGATAGATAGACGGGTATATTGAGGTAGATATGATGGTATGATTTGTATGTATAAAGAAGGATATTAAGCAGATAGAATCATGTGACAATCACATCTCTCAATGACCTTTTATTAAAGAAGACTAACCATGTCATCTTAATCCTATAAAAACACCATTTGTTTGATTTTCAAACCAAATTCAAAGCTGCATACCCTGAGAATGCAGGAATGATAAAACAATTGGAAGTAAATCACGGACAAGGACAAATTCCTGTCCTTTGGGTAATCTGATATGTCATCTTCAATAATGTCAGGAGATCTAGCCTTAGCTGCTGTAGGTCTCTCTCTCTCTCCCTCCTTTCCCCCTTTCCTTTGCACATACACACTTACACAGATTCATAAATATATTGACATACCTAAAACCAGACACATGTCCTGTGCTGCACACCAGTGCACAAAATCAAATTGCCTCAGCAAGTCTGCAGCAGCCAAAAGACATGATAAACACTATTTTTAAATAGCAAGATGCAAAAGGGTATCATGAGTGATTTGTGTACAAAGAAATGCAATATAAGCCCATTGCATTCTTCCTTTTTCATTAATACATCATCAGTAAACAAGTGTCACGCAAAGTGAACACAGATCATTCACATATTGTAGTTTAAAAAGCCAAAAATAGTATATTTTATATAGTATAGAAATAAAGGAAATTATTTAATAATTGAAGTAATTTGTCAAGAAGATAATGCTATATAGTCCACTTCTTGCCCCTATACATGTGTGGCCTTCATATAATTGGAATTGGTAATCTTTAAAATGTTCTGACATTTCATAGACCATGCAATTCATTATATGGCACATCCTGTAGGTTAATAAACCAAATAGGCCCATGCCATGTGTCTAATAACTGCAGTTGTATCTGTATTTACTCATGGATAATCACTGTGTACAACAGTGTGCATGTACATTAACTGGTGATTCTACTAATACCTGCTTTAGAGTAGTTTAACCCCAACGTATAGTGCTTTTAGTGTACAAATGCAGCACTTCTGCAATGTTCCAATTTAAACTTACTAATTGTCTGCACTACAGTAGTCTAGGACTCTAGGCTACATTATTGCAAGATTACTATAGTTCTTAATCAAACTTTGATCATGTTATCACGTAGCCAAAACAAGTAGTTTACACATTCATGAAAATGTGGCTACATTTGTAGCTCCAGACTGAAAGTGAGGTTTAAAAATGTGAAGGAAAAAAAAAGTTTGAAGCTGCCAAGTGACACACTGTTGAGTTGATAAGCGTTGGGGTCTACTTCCTTACAAACAGAGCCATGCACACAACAACACTTGAAAATACACATAAAGAAACTTTTCATTTAGCACGTTGGGAAATAAATCAGAAAGTTTACAGTACCTTTTCTTTCTCTGCTCTCTCACTCCCTGTTCTCCTCTCTCTGCCTGTCTTGGGTCTGCTCGACCTGGCGTCAGTCAGTCGCGGAGCCGCTTCACCCTCCGCTGAGCGCCAGTATCACGCCGCGGGGATGCAGCCTCGACAATAACAAGACCTACTTTTCACACATCCAACATCTTCGTTCACTGTGTGGAAAGTGATTATGTAACTGTGAGAAACAATGTTGTTTTCTCGCCTAAAACTAAGAGCTTCACAGCACCAGAGAGCTTCTTTTCAGATGAGAGAGTTTGTTTGTTGCAAGTTGTGCTAAAATGTTGCTTGTTTGTTGCAGAGTGAGGAAGAAGGCAGAAAGAGCATCTCTTTACTTCAGAGGCTGCCAGAACATCCATGCAAAATGTGGGAAAGTTGTTTAATTTAGCTCTTTTCTGCATGTATTATAGCAGTTTGGACATTTGATGATTTTTTTCTGAACTTCCCCTACACAAAATGCAACAACAACAATACTCGTAAAATGGGGATTTATGGGACAAAACTACTATATGTTCAAAACACAAGTTATACTGCAACTTCAGACATTGTTTGAACAACGAAGAAGCACTAATTCATTCATGTTCTCTCTTTTTACTACATAAAACAGCTCTCCTTCTTCAAACTTGGCCAGTAATCTGTTGCAGCAGTTTAACTGATAGGCAGGCAACTCTGTGGTTTATCTGTAGTGAACTTCTGAACTGCACGGTGTTAAACCTGCCTCTCAGTTCCCCTCTTGCTTTGATTGTGATATGATAAGCTCTATTTAAGTTGTCAGGAGAACAAAAGTGTCCATGAGCAGGGTAAGCACAGGAGCATGCTTACACATGCCATCATCTCAATTTCTGACCTCAAAACAGTAATACACACATACAACCAGTCCAGCCCTGGTGTAGGTTTTTCTACTGGTGGGTGTGTAGAGGGATTATTGTGCAATGTCAAGGGTGAAACTCCCAACAGTTCTTCAAACCATCTCATTAATATTTCATGATAATGCATGGAAATAGCCTTTTGCAGGGCAGCAGCAGCAGAGGACATGAAGCGTCATTTCCTCAGAAAATAGCCAAAACAATTTATATGTGCATCAGAAATAATATGGGTCATATTTAAGAATAAATCAGAATATCATTTGAACACGTAATATTTTTGTTGACAAAGTTGAAGGGGTTATAGATACAAATAGAATACTATAAAAAGAAGACGGGTAAAATGCCTGAGATCTAAAATATATCAAAAACACTGACACGTATTTCACGTTACTACAGATGGCTACTTGAGTATTTGTACAGGAATAGTACAGTGTTACTTAGCCCGGTTATATTTAAGTGCTTATAAATGTATGGTAAAATAATTTAAATATTATATGACGAGACAATTATACAAACTAAGTGTTTAAGTGTTTTTTGTTGCGAGTTTTATTAAACAAGTTCAGGGTTGCAGCGGTGAGGAGGGACTAGATTATCTTGAAGACAGGCGGAGGGAAACGTTCAGAACGGAGGAGACTCCTGGTGTAGGTGACGTCACGGCGCTGGCGACAGAATGTCTGAGTGAGGCGGGAGCGAGCTGCACGTGAATAAATCTGGGAAACAGCGCGAGGAGGGGGAGGTAGGGAGTGGACGACGATGATGATTATGAGTAGGAATAGAGAGAAGGCTACACAAACTTTTTAATAGAATAACGATTCTCTCGAATACTCACAACAATCAACTGCATATTTTCTACACCCCAGTGGTGGAGGAAATACTCAGATGCTTCACTTAAATCATGCACTCAAAACCTCACTCAAGTTAAAGAATGTAGTGTTATAATCAACATGTTCTTACGGAAGGTCTGCTAAACATAAAAGCATTCATCGTGCATCATTAATTGTCTGCAAGGGTCATTACTGGGTAGCACTACAACGATACATATGTACTTTTCCACAAGTACAAATCACATGCAATTCAGCAATGAAGTTTGAAAGCATAACCAAAGTAGCCGTTGTTGCTAAATTCAATTTAATTTGTGGCCAAATGAAAAAAACCTGAGTTTATAAGCTAGAGCTCTGTTTTATATCACATAATTATGTTTGAATTATTGTTACCGCTGGTGAAGTGTGTTTAAAGTTGTGCTAATTTTAACTCCTTTATACTTCCTCAAGTGAAAATAGCCACTACATTAATGTGAGAATACAGTTACAATTGTTTATGTTGCTGATTATTCAACATGCATAACAATCACATAGTAAAATATTTTTGCATTGTCGAATCCTAAACTACTCAATAAAATACATGGTGAATTAAATGTATCTTCATCTACAACATTTAGTAAACCAAAATGTAAAAACACATAGTTAAATCAATCTTGTAATGTATTATAATACCTCAAACTATGTATATAATAGAACATTATAACAAGGGTTACTAGCAGAGAAGAGAATTAAACATTTAATGTATAAATATTACTACCATGTTTCATACATATTCTGAACAGATATATATATATATATATAGGGCTGTTATTTACTATTCCTCGACTACCCTGTAATGGTAAGAACTGAATGTAGAGGCAATTAGATGACAGTCCCTATTGTTGAACCATCACACAGCAGGACTCCAGCCACTGATGAAGCGTCTGCTCCCTCTCATCTCTCTAAAAGTTGTAGTACACGTCACTTAAAGCCAACTTTAGGTAACCTGATGCTGAAAGAGACACAGAAAGCATCCTGCGAATCTAAAGCCATGACAAGTCATGGGGACATTTAATGACTCTCAGACTGAAATATGACTTCATCACAACCACTTGTTCTGGACCGAAAACACAAAACAAAAAAACGTGTATATTTTAATTATTAACACGGTTAAATGCATCCTCATGGTGGATATTAAGCATTTAACTACAATATACAAGTTACCTCAGTTTATTTAACGTTAGCTCTTGGTGTGTTTGTGAAAAGCCTGTATGAAGATGAACTTGACCAAAATGTATAATGCAACAAAGTATACATTTGTATTGGTCAGGAACAAATACAAATGTTAGTACGGCAAGAGTTTAAACCACACATCCAATCCATTGGGGTTAAAGTCTAACCAGCCATGATCGCATCATAATGAAGTTAACATTGCTATCTACAGTATATGGTTTTAACAACAGATTTGTGGAACACTAATCAGCTTTACATGTCGCATCAGTTGCCTTTTAATCATTGTCCTGATGCAAAACTGTTGCATATGAGGCATCCATTGATGGCAAATGCTTTTAATTCAGACTCCATACACACAAAAAGAGACTACTTTAAGAGAGAAAAGAAGAGAAACCTCAGGAATAGTCACAGCAGCATCCCTTTGGCTGTATTACATTCAGAGATGAGAGTTGAAAAACGTCATTTATTTTTAAATGTTGGCTTCGTTACACATACTGTTCCCAAAGCTGAAGAAAAAAGTGTCATCCTCAAATTTAAATTCTCATCCTGTCACATCAACATTTATTTGGCAGTTAGTTCTGTTGTACTGTCTGTTTCAGAATCACAAGCATGCATGAGGCATAGAAGGACACATATTAATACCTAAAAGAACTCCAGGTCCTGAAATAGTCAAATTCTTCAATCTGTTTCCTCAACCCAAAGCACAACAGGAAAACAACTATGAAGGTCAAGATGTTGCATGCAAAACGTGTCAACAGGACATTAACATTTAAAACACTTAGTAGTAGGCTCTATTAGGGCAAGGTTCATGAAGAAGCGGGAACCATTTAGAAACTTTGGAGCACTGCCTGTCTCCAGCCGGACGGAGGAAGAGCGGACTCACTGGTTAGGATTGATTACAACATTAACTCCATAGACTTCCATGAATCAGCACGGGGTAGAAATGCTTAACGATGACTGACACAAGTGTTAAGATGACACTCCTTCACACATGCAATTCATTTTGCCATCCGAGGGCTCTTGGCAGGCCCATCAAATTTTCTTCGCAGCAGCAATGCGAGGCATGGCAGCAGAGCATCAGGCGAGCTCACATTTCAAACGGGTGGCTCATTTGGGAAGTCCTTCTAGAAATAATGTCTGGGGTGGTAAAATTTGAATGCTGTCTCCAGGGGCTCTCAGTTTTCCTTTTCTACCTTCATTGCACAGAGACAGAGGATGCACCAATCAGAGGGGGGCACCAATCAGAGGGGGGCAATACCCTCAAGTCCAACTAGCTTGCCACTCTGGTCTCGGTATGTCCATTTACATGCCACAAGTTCATTGATATGATGCATGCATGATAGGCACTAGGCAGACATCTTATCTTACACAATTCAACTCAAACACACGTGATTGATTGGTCTGGCAAATATTTTAAAGGTTTGATCACTGGTCCTCTCACTACACAATGCTGTGATTCCAATCTAAAACCACTGTGTAAAATGAGACTCCCTTGAGGACTGTGACTGCAACCCCCCACCCTCACACATGCACACACATACAATTCAGTTCACCCCGACAAGAGAGATTCCCCGGGCTCAGTACGGAGGGTGGTCTGCCTCTGGTTTATTGAGAAGAAGTCTTTGAGTCTTGGGGAGGGGAAGAGTCTGACAGCAGCTGTCACAATCACTTGTTAGGCGGGACAGTTAACCCGAGATAAAACAGCTGTCAGTCAAAGCAGTCGCAGCACATTTCGCTCAAGGGGGTGGTGACACGATGAACTTCAACCAACTGCCGACGCTGTTGGACACATGGCAGTTCACCTGTATGTTGGCCAGCTGTCCCTCACTGTACAGGTGCGCTGTCAGAAGCATTTCTTCACCAAGGAAGGGTCTTTTGGTCCTGATAAGATTGACTGCATTTGATTACCAGTGTTTGTGTGAGTTTTCATTCATTTTACAAAGACATGCAAGTGAAGTGAATTTTGAGACTCTAAATAGCCCAGGGGTACACAGCTTTACACCTGAACAGAATTGGCATCAGGTTCAGGGGGTTTCTGTTTGATTAATGAATTTGTGCCTGAAATGGTACACCTTTGAAGATCCTTCTGACATCAGCTGCTGAGCAAAGGCTTGCTGAGACCTGCA